CTCTCTCTCTCTCTCTCTCTCTCTCTCTCTCTCTCTCTCTCTCTCTCTCTTACACCGAAGCAGATTTGCTTAAATATATTTACATATTATATCTATTTGTATATTTGTAAACATATATATCTCGAATGGCGTTTCAGATCTTGAGCTGGAGTCATAATCAAGTCGATCTAATAATATCTTCCCCTTGTACATAGATGACCTGCTCCCAGCTCAATTTCGTTTCCATGAAATCGATTCAAAATACAAATATTAATCTTCCGTTATTTATTTATATTGTTATATGTTTTCGTGGCTCTTTCCAAGAACTAGCACGATTTAAGGTGCGAATTTACATTCAGCAACCGGTTCGACTCGAGTCAAGCTACAGCGATTACAAGCTCTGAGTTAACTCTTAGACTTATGTTGAATCTACTTATATGTATAACAATTCAAAAAATTTGTAATTGCCCTCAAAATGAGAGAGAAACAGACTATGATATATAATCTCCCTCTCTCTCTCTCTCTTTTAGTTATTGGCTTCAATTAGTTCATGTTCATAATGGACAACAAATAATCGTGTTTACTGTGCGATGACTCAGTTGCCTAGATTGATCGACTTAGCTCATTCGACTCGTTTGCTCTGGCTATTATCATAGTCAAGCCGATCCATTGTTGGTTGGGGCATTACAGCTTGGACTTGGTATCAAGCGGCGACTGCTCCATATTTGAGCTTCTCATTAGCAAACAAACAAATTTCTTTAAGCACTGCTAAAGTAAACAAACTTATCGCACATTCGGAGAGAGAAAAACAATTTTTTATTTTCAAAAATAACAAAAAATAAAATTAAAATAAAATAAAAAATCTAAGACATTAGAGTTAAAAAAAAAAAAAAAAATGAGCTCAATATCGTTTTATGCATTTCATCGCTTAGTGCGTTCTACGATCATTGCGCTCCCTCTGCTTCATCTGGTAGTTGTGCAGAGCCTGCGCTAGCTCGCGTAGGCTTTCCGATCCCTGCCGCTGCTGCTTGCGTTCCTGCTGCTTCTTGAGCTCCTTGCACATCTTCTTCAGCTTCTTGCGCTCCTTCTTGACCGACTTCTGCTCGTGGCTGTCCTCATCCTCCTCGGACGACGAGCTGTCCCGCTTGCGACGCCGGCGCAGCTGCTCGCACTTGGCCAGCAGCTCCTTAACTTCGGCATCATCGTCCTTAGGCGTAGTGCTCGATGCATCTGAATTGGGCGTAGTGCTCGGTGTATTGCCGCCTTTTGGGACGGTGCTCGATGCATCTGAGTTGGGCGTAGTGCTCGGTGCATTGCCACCTTTCGGGGCGGTACTCGATGCATCTGAGTTGGGCGTACTGTTTGATGCATTGTCGCCTTTCGGGACGGTGCTCGATGCATTGTCGTCCTTCAGGGCGGTGCCAGATGCCTCCGACTTGGGCGTAGTGCTCGATGCAATGTCGCTTTTCAGGGCGGTGTTCGATGCATTGTCATCCTTCACGGCGGTGCTCGATTCATCCGACTTGGGCGTGATCGTTGTTGTGGTCGTCGATGCTTCCAGTTCAGACTTGGGCTTCTCTGTTGTAGAGATGATCGTTATTGTCGTACTGCTGCTGGGATTTTCATCCACATCGGGCTTTGGCGTAGTTGTTGAGGACGGTGCCTCCGTGCTCTGCGGATAGGCGCAGCAGCAGGCGGCCAGGACGAGGCAAATGACAATCGTCTCCTTGCGCATTATTGATGATTTATTGCCTTCAGCAGCTCAATCAACACTAAGCCAGACCGACAATCGATTGCACTCATTTATACCTCCGGTACGTCCCACTGGGACGCAGCAGCGCCAAGCGTACGGCCCGACTGGTTTTTCAATAGACCAAAATTCACTAACTACGAATTTATTTGAGTTTCATGTTTATCTGCGGGGGGCTTTCTTGACATGCGCTACGCGCGAAGCGAGTGCATCCATGGGCACAGAGAGCCTACAAAAAATCCAGCGATTCGCTGGAAAAACAAAGATATATTGATACAATTATTCGAGACAACCAGGCAAGGCAAGCTTAACAAAAAATATTTTTAAAAAGGGCTTATCTTGATCGCAAGTCCCGATTCTGGATCATGCTTTAATAAAATTTCAATTTAATTTGGCATTTTTTCTATGCACATTTGCTGCATTTGAAGGAAGCTTTGGGGTACTTTATTTGTTTGTTGTCGTCGAATCGGGATGAGTTTTGGGCATAGGCTTGGACTTTGTAAAGCTGAGCTATTCAGCAATCTGCTTTGAAAATCTCTAAGAGTTAAAAGAGCTTTAAAGCAGATTGATTGCTAAAGATTTAAAGAGCTAAAGGGATTTCAGCTTGTTAGGCATTCATATAGCTTTTCTTGATTTAGATCATGCCTTAATGAGCTTTAAGCAAGGATTGGTTACGTATTGAAAGAAGCTTTGATAATTCAACAAACTGAAAATAACAAATTGATAAAATTTTGATCGTTAACTTTTTTCCATGTCCAAGTCTTGAATGCTTTGAAGCACATTGATAGACTGCTTAGCTTTATATATGTATACATATGTAACTTGGAGGCTTCTTTGAAAGTCATGTAATCAAATGATCATATGAGAGCTCAGAAAAGCTTTGAATAAACATGGGCACAAAACTATACATCTCTGAATTTTAATGAGCTTTCCATAATGTTGCTCTCATTTCAGTTGCTTGAAGATCGCCAAGCTTACTTAATATGCAGCCTACATTACTGAAAGCTCATTAAAGCTTTGGGCAAGCTTGAGAGCTCAAATTTTGCCAGGAAAGCTTCACAGTCGCCTATGCCGCACTTGACTGTGGCTCGCTCTGACACTTTACACTTTAATGAATTCTCTACACATACGCAAAACTATGTGTCAGCGTATTTGTGTTTGTAATTCACGGCCCGAGCGCGTCAGCATTAACTCGTTTTGCCATAGACTTTGTAATCGAAACGACTCCACAGATGCTTTATTAGCTGAGCTGAAGCCAAGGAATCGATATGCTCTGATCGAGTGGCGATTGCAGGGCAGCGACATGTCATGGACTGTAATTGATGCATTATGATTATTTTTGGAATGTTCTCATTTGTTAATAAACCGATTGGCAGCCAGGCGCGGCTGCCCACAGCTCACAGCCGCACTAATTGTTTATCAATTACATTTGCTAATTGCTTAATGCACCTGCAAAGTGATGCGGCATTAATGTAAATTGCAACATTTTTAACATTTGGCAGACAGAGCAAACTTTCTCTACCCCCTCCCCCCCCTCTCAGTGCGTGTATAAGTAATTGAATAAAAAGCGAAAAAAACAAACGAGAAAATAACAACAAATAATTAAAAGCTGCACGTGTAGAAGGGCAAAAAAAAAAAAAAATAACAACAACAGTAGAAAATCCCGGCGTTATCCTGATCCTCGCTATGCGACTGAGGTGGGGGGAGCTGATGGGGTCTCAGACCGGTCGTAACCCCGCTGCAAGCGCAACAATTTTAATGAAACAGAGAGAATATGTTAATTGCGTGTGAAACCGCTGCAACGAGTTGCCACTCGCTGCGTCTCTCTTTTATTTATTATTACAATTTTCCACTTCTTGTTGGCCATTTTGCCCGTTTTTTAGTTTTTTCGTTCTTTCGTTTTTTCCACCTTTGCAACATTTTTCTTTTCATTTTCAGCTTGCAGCAGTTAAGCAGCAAAAAATATGCAACATATGTAACATAGTGCGGGCGGACTTCCAGGCAGCGAGTCGGAGAGCCAGACGACCAGGGCTGCCATATCAGAGTGTTTGCCATATACATAGCAGCATTTAGAGAAAAACAGCTTTCAGCGTCGAGCATAATGTAAAATGCAAATTTTCACGAGCATATATTTCAATTATGCTAATTGGATAAATGAATTGTATGGATCTGCTTCAGCGGCAAGAAGCTGCGCATCTCGTAAAATCATGAGTTTCGAAACTTTCGGCAGAGCTGCCCGGGCAGCTATCGGAAGCCAAAAAACATGTTGCTTCAAATTTCAATTAGGTCACTTCATATTTTGAAAACAATTTTGTTTACTACATCGTATAGTTTACCCTTGGGAATTTACTGCTAAATTGAGCGTGTGTGGATGAGCATAGAAGCTGTAGTGAATGCTTTAATACAATATTAGGACTGTAATCGGTAGACAATATATGGCGTTGCTCAATAATATGTATGATGACAATGACAATGACAATGACAATGACAATGACAATGACAATGACAATGAC